GATAGTAACGTTATTCTAAATATAATTGTCTGTTATTTTACAGCGTTCAGTGTTTGTTGGCCGACGCCCAGGATGCAGTTCACTGAACGACCACTGTTGGCGCTGTTAGCTACAGTTTAATGACAGTTACAGACAGAAGCTTTATGTTTTGGAATTTGAACCCATAGTACAGTTTATTTGTTTACTTGCATTCAGATATTAAAGTGTGTTGAGTGAGCTCAGCTCCTGTTTGCAGTGAGTTGAGAAGAACAGCTGATGATTATCAGTAAATGTTGTGCATGTTTTCAACAAAAAATGAATGAACTAAACTCAGTCGGTCAGATCATTTCTGCTTCCAGAGAACCACTTCAACATGTTTGTGTTTAAACTGATGTGAGTCATGGAGATTCCCAGCTGACTCACTGCAGAGGAAACGTTTTACACTGAACTCAACTCCACCTAAAGCCTCCTCCTTTGTCCGTCCCTCCATACACAGCTGTAAATTCTCCTTCACCAACACACACCCCCCCCCCTCTCTCTCTCTGTCTCTCTCTCTGTGTCAGTGTTAAATTATAATAATGATGTTTGTGTTTCTCTCTGCTGCTGCTGTCAGGACTCTTTACTGTCAGTAGACTGATGGTGACGGTACGTCCTGCTGGAGGTCTGTTAGCACTGTTAGCACTGTTAGCAGCTGTAATAATTCAGTTTTGTATTATTATGAGTCATTATTCATTATTCAGTCCCTCCAGGATCTCACAGGCTAAAATTCCTGATTTCACAGCAGCTTTTCTAAAAAATTGTAATGCATGTTGTTTGTTGGTTTTGTTTTGCAATTAAATTATGGGACAAAGTGAAACTTTAAAAATAGTTGCGATTTTTTTGTATAAATAATTAAAGTCCAAGGCAACGTGTCTGAGTGAGAATAAAATCTCTAGTAGTTTGGTGACGTTTTGGGGGACTGTGATTGGTGGAACTCACAGGAAACTATAATGATTGGACAAAATTGCAAAGTCGTGCAGAAATTTGTTGAATTTGTGTTCATTTTTGCAAAATCCCAACTAAGGATGTGCGTGATTAGTCAACTAGTAGGTTAAATGTTAATGTGGCCATTAACGTCATAACTTCCTGGAGGGACTGGTTAGCTTCAGTCTTTTTGTTCCAACATCACAACTTGATTTGATCATTTCATTCATACCTTTTTATCATATATATCGTTAAACTATGTTTACAGTGTGTTGTTGTCTTTTCTGGTGCTGATGTATATTTCATAAAGTCACTGATGAGAACTGAGGATGTTCAGGGCTGTTAGACTGATGCTGACGGTGTGTGGTTGGTCCTCCTCCAGGTTTCACCCTCAATAACACCATCTACCAGCTGCTGGTGGCTCGATACTCTGACCCCGACATGACCATCGACTTTGACAACTTTGTGGCCTGTCTGATGAGGCTGGAGATGATGTTCAGTGAGTCATCCACAAGACAAATATATAAACATATTGCATCAAAACTTTGAGGCAGATGTTCACTACAACTCCCAAGGTTCATTTCAGCAAGAAACATGTTCAGAAAACACTTTGGGACTAAAGAACTGCTCACATCAGTATCAGTCAGCTGAGTAAGCTAATGAGCTAAAGAAGCTAACTAGTACACCTTCAAAATGTTTGTGTCTGATGTGTGACTCATCTTCCTCCTCAGGGATCTTTAAGAAGGTTGATGCTCACGGCAGCGGCTCCATCGAGCTCGACTTCAACCAGGTGACAACTTTATTATCACTGTACAAACACACAACTTTATTATCTACGGAAGCCCTAAAGGGCCATGCATTCATACATTTTATTTCCTCCGTTTTCCCGTGATAACGAGTTAATTAATTCGAGATCTCGAGATAATGACTGTGATATGATAACTGCGAGTGTACAAGTATTCTCAGCATTATGGTAAATGCGGAGAAACAGCGTATTCACTTCCGGTTTTCAAAATAAAGGTATTAAGAATGGTAAGCTATAATTCGAACCTACATACAACAATAAAATATGTTACATTCCCGGCTGGACCGGGACCGAACACCTCCGAGACAGACATGGGACAGTTTGACAACAGTGGTAACAAGATGATTAACTGAGGGTCCTGAAATACTTGTTGCTGAAAGTAATTTTAACTGCTGTTAGCTAGTTATCTCATGAGGCTAATGTTAGCCAACTTAGCCCTGGGGTGACAAGAGCCAAAAACGACAATAAAACCACCTCAGTCTTTTATTCCCTTTAGTCAAACTGTCCTCCGTCAGCATCAGATGCGGTCTGGACCTGCTGTTCACTGCAGTGACATGCGGTGAGGTTCATGGCTGGTGAGGCACTGACTTCATCAGAATCAGATTTATAAATGTAACCCCCCAATTTGTAACAAAATGTTTACCTTGATTACTTTTGCGCCGTCCTTCTCCTAATGAGCTAATGCTCGTCCGCTAACAACAGTCCATACGAAGCTAATGCTAGTTAGCATACAGTCCATACGAGGCTTCAGTTTATGAGCTTGTTCAGCACTCACACCAAAACCAAAGAAATAAAGTCACTTTAACACTATTTTATAAACTTATGAACAGCACAGTGTTTCTCTTTTTAATCCCGCCCTCTCAGAGACTCCGGAGGCTTACCACATACTTCCACCGCTAAGTAGACCCTGATGGTAAGACAAGAGACATTGAGCAGCGCTGAGATACTGCAAATAAACAAAACAAAACATTAACAAGAGCGGCAGGATCCCTCCGTTCTGAAACCAGGCGGGCGAGGAGGGGAAAAAAAAGTTATTTGCTGCACTTGACCTGCGCTAA